CTAGGCTGGGTTTTTTTTTTCTTTTTTTTTTTTTTTTTTTTTTTTGGTAGTGAGAAATTGATTTTACAGCTGCTAAACTGGAATTCTGTGATTAAAAAGATGTAGTTGCAAAATTTTGGCCAGTTCTGCTCATCTTTCAGCACTCTCAGAGTGCAGGAGGGTGACTTCACAGTGGGGACAGCAAAGCTGCAGGGGGGAGCAATGTGCAGACCTGTCATGGATCCCATTGGGAAAAGGGTGAGGTTATGGGGAGAGGAGCCAGCTAGGTGAGGCAGCAGCCTTATCCTCAGAGCTAATGGCTGATGTGCTGACAGTGCATTTTTAGCCAGAAATAAAGCAACACAACAGTGACACACATCATGGAGTTAAAATTTTACTTCTCCTTCTGGTGACTGTAAATAGAGTTTCCTTTTTTTCTGCTCATCTGGTGTCCTGTAACTCACCCTCTTTCCACCACTTCAGGTGTCGTGTTCCCTTACTCTCCACGGCTGGGTCGTTACAACTTGAACTTCCACGAGGCTCAGCGAGCATGTCTGGACCAAGACTCTGTTATTGCCTCCTTTGACCAGCTCTACGATGCCTGGAGGTCAGGGCTGGACTGGTGTAACGCCGGCTGGCTCAGCGACGGTTCCGTGCAGTACCCCATCACCAAGCCCAGGGAGCCCTGTGGAGGGAAGAACACAGTGCCTGGGGTCAGGAATTACGGCTTCTGGGATAAAGATAAAAGCAGATATGATGTTTTCTGTTTCACTTCCAACTTCAACGGTAAGAACCTTCTCTTCCTCTGCCTTTATAGATGATTGTTTCTGGGGTTAGAAATAATGCTTCCATGGCAGCAAGTGAGATTTGATTTGTCAAAGCCTGTATTAGGTTTGGAAAAAGTAATTGTTGTATTCACAAGGACACATTTGCAGCATAAAGTTGTCTTTGTCACAAGCTCACATAGATAATTTTTATAACTCTTTACAGAACTTGTATTGGCAGGAGTTTCTAATATCTCTTTCCACACCGTTAAAATTTGTATGTACTCTTTCAATGTTGATATATGCTGGGCTTATTTCAGTTAAAGTGATGAAGAAACCTGCAATTCATTAATTGAGCTTTCCTATTTAATTTAATTATAATTCTGATGTTTTGCAACTTAAATATATCACCAAAATAAAATTCTGATCACTTCTTCTATGCTGTGTATCAAGCAGCTCCCGCTACTTTCATATGACTAATACTTCCTTATCAGCAAAGCTATTTCTAGCTTTAAGGCCTAATAATTGAGATTCATTGTCTTAGTACACTGCCAAAACCCTGTTCACTTTTGCTCTGAGCTTGAGTTGCTCTAACCTTTATTTTAGCAACTGCAAGCTTTTTTTATTTTAGCAGATGTTAAGTATGAAACTACTTGATCTCAACTTGCTGTCATTTCAGGTTTTATCTAGTGGCTCAAAAGGATTTAGAAGGCATTGCTGTGAATGAGAGGAATGCTGCAAGTGGACATGTGCAAAGGAGTCTGCAATCCTCCACAGCACCATATTCATGGATAATTTCTGTACAACTTTGCACATGTTTGGCTTGCAGCCCACCCAGACCTAGAAGCAGGGCCTTTTTTTGTTTCTACACAGATTGCTTATCTACAATGAAGCATTTTCGTTCTACAGCACCACCAAAAAATAAACATAAGCCTTGGTCTCAGAAGATATGTGCTAGTGCTAGGGCTGCTCCACCCGCTCAAAAGAAACCCTTAAACTAACAATATTAAATTAGTGTGGATGTGGTTTGAAACTAAAGTTTAGCTGATTTTCTTCATGCTGCATCATCCCATAAAATGCTAGCTCATTTTTTCTTGCTTCTTTTATCCAAAGTGAAATCCTATATGAGCTGATCTCTTACATGCAGATTTAAACCTGTACCATAGAAATAGGACTGAGGAATAAAATAAAAGAGAAAAAAGGATTTAAAGGTGTTACTGCATTAATTACAATTCTTGCAAAATAAATTTTTGTGACTACTGGTCACTAATCACCAATCTTTCCAAATTAGCAGCTGGATAGTGTTTCTTAAAGAATGAGAAAAATTGTTTCTGGGGAAAATAAATAAAATAAAAAAAGTGCTGATGGATAAATATCTTCTGTGCATTGATACACCAAGAGAGAAAGAGAGAGAAAGAGGAATGAGTTAAGGTGAGGATATGAGGATAAGGTATACAGGCAGTGGAGAAATCAATGACATGATGTCAAAATTAATTTCATTCTTGATGAGTCTGTTAAGCTGCTCTGAAAGGCATAACACTACACAGCAATAGGGCGGTATATAGAGCCGAACACCATCTTTTCTAGCTCACTATAGCTCAGTGCCATGTCAGTCTCTCAAAAGGTTTCAGCAGAAAATCTGGACTTCTCCCAGATGCTTCTCCCAGCATCCACTTACTTAACCAGTAACCCACCCAGTTATGTTATCCTCATATGTCCCTGCTGTGTTCTCCACTATTCATGTCCCAAGCTTACCTTAATATCCACAATAAACCCAGTCAGTCTCCCAAAATGCCAAGTTCCTGTTTACAGCTCAACACTCCAGATAGCTTATGTACACTTAACAGCATACATTAGCTTTCTCACTGTAAAGCAAAAAGCTTACAATAACCCATTTTGCCACCAGGTTGGAATTGCCAAAGATAGTGGCTGCGGGCAAAAAGCTGTTTGTGCAACACCCATATTGATTCTCTCAGCTCAGGAACAGCCAAGGAAAACGAGAAGTGGTTAGGACACTATGCATTTCCAGCAGTGGCAGTGACTTCTGGAGTCTCCCGATGGTATGAAACAGAGGAGCCTTCAGCTTTATGTCAGGGAGCTGGGAAAATGCCAACGGCCCCAGGATCAGGGGAGTATAAGGTGACCTGAGGAAAAAAAAATCAAAGAGTGTCAGTTGTGGGAGCTGCTATGAAGAAAGAGGAAGAGGTTTAGATTTCTGCCAAGTGGGTTCTCTTTAGGGAAGTATTCCAAATGAGTTATGATCTCAGGGATCATAAAATAAACAAAGGCTCAGTTTTAAATAGTTCAGTAGTCAAAGTTAAAAAGTCTTTGTCTAAAATGCAAGGATTCTTTTTTACCTGAAAAAGAAAGGTACAGACCAGCAAAATTACATTCAGCCATTAAGGCAAATAATGAAAATGTATTCATCAATGCAGTGAGTTCTAATCCACCTTCAATGTTTTCAGTCTGGAACTGCTGGTTCTCATCTGTTATGAGCTGAATACACAAAAGGTAGAAAAAGGCTTCTTTTCATACCATTAGTGAAGAATTCTATCTACAATCCTGTTATCTGCACAGTGAAATTGTCATAGTAAAGTTTGTCCACAATGCAATATAAAATATCCTAGTACTTCATGAAATTAATTTCTGTAGTGTCTTTTCTTAGACTAGGATAAGTGCAATAGTTGAACATTCTATTCTGCATGTATGACTGCTTAAAATGAAAATTATTTTGTTTGTTCCTAGAGTTGTTCATGTTTTGTGTCTGTTCAGGCAAAGCCAAAAACCTGAAAAGGTTTCATACACTTTGTAAAGAGTAGTACAAACAGGTTACCAGTTTATAAGAATAGATTGTGATATGTTCCATAAAACAGTACGAAGAATAACGTTGGCTTAGTGCTATCCATTAAATCCATCAAGATATTGTGAAATAACCTCTCCTTTTTGCCTCCATATAGATAAAATATTGGATTGCATTGTTTTTCCCAACTTGCTTTTACATTCCTCATGTTGATAAAGACTATGAAAAAATAATATTCATAATTGGGAAGTATCCAAATTAAATTAATATCTGTGCACTCAGCTCTGCTCCCTCACAGCCAATTTCTTCTCTGCTTTTCCATCATAGTAGAAGTCACTTTAGTACATGCTTTAGAAAATCTAAATGGTCCTGACCCATGCAATAAAGAACCTGCCATGCTTCAAATGTTTGCAAGGGCTGCAGACAATCCCAATTTCCCTCACATCACTTCCCCAAGGAACGAGATGCTCCTCTTCTGTACATTCCCTCTAGAAGGTCAATTTTGGCTTCAATACAACAATCCAGAGGAATAAATGCAACTAAATTCTTTTGTCACGTTCTTCCCCAGAGAGTCCAAAAGGCATGGGACAAGGAACATATGATGGTATAGCTGATTGGTTAGTCTTGCCTAATTTCAAAGGTTTCTGAAGGAGAACAGTGAGTTTTTCCAAAAAAAAGGAACACAAAACAAAACCCAAATGAAACAAAACAAAAAACCCCAACAGAAATATTCTGCACCAAAAAGTTTAAGTGAACTAAATACTAACTTGTCTTTCAGCTCCTCTATAAATGAACATTTTCAAAGGAAAAAGGATGTAAGTAGAGCTTGTATCACACTTCCTGCTCATTAACATTTTGTTCTATATTTTGCACACAGAACTAAGTGCATAACTGGTTTGTTATCAGCTCTAGCAGAATCAAGTAAAAATCAAATGTTGACAAAGTTAAAAATACAAATAATAAATTTTAGGGATCATTTAAAAAGTGCACCTGTGACTCTGTTTATTACAGTAATGCATGTGATCAGCTAACCACCTCTGTCACTAAAATGGGAGAAAGATGTAGATAGTTGTCTCTGAATGATGCATGCTGACTGCTTATTTGACCATTTCAGAAGATTTTATCACTGGAACATGTAGCCATTGTTCCAAAAAGAGAAACAAACATCCCTAAAAGAAAATGCTGGAACTTTTCTTGGAAGTGTTTTCTTTCTGAGTCACCAGATTCATTGCTGATATTGGGGCATGGGGAAGACTTGAAGATTTTTAAAAAATTCTTCCCACATCACAGATTTGTAACATGTTGTTCAATTTTGAGAAAGAATGGCTTCTCTCAACTGTTTAGTATTCCTATAAGATACACTGAACCCAGTATGCTGAACAGATGACAAGGTTTGCATGTTGTGCAAGCTACAACTACACCCTGCTGGCCACTGAGAATGCCTTTTATGGCTGTATGAAACCACAAAATAGACCAGTCTGCTCTTTATATAGTAAAACAACTAATTTTTTGTGTCTGTAACTGTCATAGCTGGAGCTTAATTAGGTTTGCATAAATCTTATGCCCCATGATTTGGTTGTGAGAAGTCAAATCAAGCATGGTCATCCTCATAAGAGTAACCTAACTACAGACATTAATGAGGAAGTATCAGTTAATGCCTCTCTCTCCTTCCACATCAATTAATAAATGGTAAGATTAGACAGTTAAGAACCTGTCTAACCTATTAGCAATGGAAAACCAGCATATCTGTACTGAGTTTATTAAGAGTTTTATTTAATCAGATATTCTGGGTACACGTTGCACTCCTGTGGGGTTTACGATAAAAGTTATCCTATTTAAGGAAGGGACAAAGCAGAGGAGTTTTCATTAGTGATGTCATATGTCAAAAGTCTGACCTTACTGCAAATCCCTAGGAAATTACATTCTATTGACATATGGTTTGAAGAGCTACTAATAAGCTAGATGAAATTTATGTGCTATCAGTCCAAATCCCTGTTCCCCTAAGTCCAAAACCTTGTTTGCTTTGGGGAGACCTCTCAATAACATAGTAGGAATACGTTTCCAATTAATAAACATTCTCTTTTGCAACACTTTGTAAATGCTCTCAAGTTGCTGAAATGGAGTTAAGCCAGTATTTTACGAAGGCGTAGATTATCTAATGTCAACAGTTTTCAGTGGAAATACTTTAGACTTTGTCTTTGACAGCAAATGAATTTTTAAAGAAGTTTCTTCTCCACCACAGCTACGATGTAGAATTTTGTTTTTGTTTTTTTTTTAAATATACTTGGCATGATATACAATTTCCAACCTTTACACAAAATTAATTATCTTTATATTGTCATCCCACATGACATTTCTTCACTTAAAAAAAAGGTAGGTGTTTTTATCAGGGACCTGGAGCTGACATAACTCTTCATCTTGCTTTCCACTTCTTCATTACCAAGAAAGTAATATGAAAGTGAGTGGACTTTTGTCTGTGTGATTGCCTGTATTTAATGAGGAACAAAAATGATATTATTCTGCATTACATCCTTAATAATGAGCTAAAGAGTGTGCTCTGGAATTAGAAGATCCTCACATGAATAAATTCCTTTGCTTTTTTGTGTATCTTGTCAGATGGAAGAGCTGTGAATTTATTTAGAAAATATTATTCCTTAAAATAAACACTACTCCTCTGCAATCTGTTTCTACCTCAAACTCAGTTAATTGTCAAATAAGTGATGATAAATAACCCTGAGGATAATGAATGAAAGGCTTCTGATGAATTTATATTTCCTTGATAAATGAAATTTATGTTAGTGTTATTGCTGCTTGTGGATTAGTAGGGGATACTTCCTTTTTAAGCTTTACTTGCTGGCATATGTTTTCATTACCTTGAGGCAGAGGCACATTTTTCTTAGCAGCACTATCAGTTCAATGCTCTCTTACAGAGGGGATATACCCTTTGATGCCTAAAAAGAAACAGAACTGCAGAACTGCTGCACCTGGTTTTGAGGTTGCTAATGAAGACTTACGATCGGAATGGTTTTGATCTACCACAGGCTCAAACTCTGCATCTGAGAAGCTGTGCAGTAGCTAGGCCTTCTTCCTGGAAAACAAACAAACCGCCCCCACCCCCCCCACCCCCCCAAAAAAAAAAAAAAAAAGAAAGAAAGAGAAGGAAAAATAAGATTATAAAAGTTGTTCGTACTTAATCGGAAGCAAGGTGCCTTGTCAGAGACTAAAACCTCCAGCCAACCTCACCCAAATGCTATCAAAGGCCAGATCTTGCTATGCCATGCTTCTAAGAGGAAATCTGGTAAGGGAGCATAATATAGAAGTGCACTGCTTTGCACTGATTGCCCTTCTCTGACAGTAAGCTACAGCTGCATGAGATCTATTTTGCCTGAAATCTATGGGTTTACTTGGCCACGTGACTAGATTGTCATTGCCATCTTGTTGGTAAATGCACCCTGTACCATAAAGTCGGACAGAGAATAGGTGCCCTCCTCCGAATCTCAGGGAGTCTTCCATTATCCCTTCCCCCTGACCTTTCCCTGCTGTTCTTCTACATCTCAGGGTGAATATGCATTGCAACTGTTCAGTTGTCACTGAAAGGAAGTGAGGATGTGGATGGCCTGCTGTGCTAAGTTAGCAGAAATAAATATAAAACTACTTTTTTGTTGTTCAAATAGTTTGGTTTTTTTTTTTTATTTTTTAATTTCTGATATTTGTCAACTCACTCCACAAATAAATAAGATATTTTTAACAATGCAATGCACAAATCACACCGTTCCAGGTCAACCACTGTTTGATATGGCTCTGTGGTGGAACACCTCCACATCATCTCAAAAGCCACCGTTATACTACCACGTCACCTTAATCACATCGCTAACGACCCTTTCTCCTATTTTCTCTTACCAGGTCGTTTTTACTACCTAATTCACCCAACTAAGCTGACCTACGATGAAGCCGTTCAGGCGTGCTTGAAGGATGGAGCTCAGATTGCTAAAGTTGGCCAGATATTTGCTGCCTGGAAGCTCCTGGGGTACGACCGCTGCGATGCCGGCTGGCTGGCTGACGGCAGCGTCCGCTACCCCATCTCCAGGCCCAGGAAACGCTGCAGCCCTAACGAAGCAGCAGTTCGCTTTGTAGGCTTCCCTGATAAAAAGCACAAGCTGTATGGTGTCTACTGTTTCAGAGCATACAACTGAAAAATACCTAGAGCACAAAAGTTTTAAATTCATTAAGAACATGTGAAAGATTTTTTTTCGATACGAACTCATGCAAGTTACCAAAACTGTGATAAACCTTTTTTACTTGCTGTAAAGAGTAATTTTCAGAAACCCAACCCATTAATTTTTTTTTTGTTTATTTTCCTTTAGTGTTTTTGTAAAAGTATCATTCCATAGATATTTTAAATTAATATAATTTAATGGAAGCTCTAAGTAAGGAAGTTTTAGAGCCAAATTCTTTAAGCTACATCTTCCCAATGAAATATATGTACATGAATGGGGCATGCAATACCCCATCTCCAGGCCCAGGAAACGCTGCAGCCCTAACGAAGCAGCAGTTCGCTTTGTAGGCTTCCCTGATAAAAAGCACAAGCTGTATGGTGTCTACTGTTTCAGAGCATACAACTGAAAAATACCTAGAGCACAAAAGTTTTAAATTCATTAAGAACATGTGAAAGATTTTTTTTCGATACGAACTCATGCAAGTTACCAAAACTGTGATAAACCTTTTTTACTTGCTGTAAAGAGTAATTTTCAGAAACCCAACCCATTAATTTTTTTTTTGTTTATTTTCCTTTAGTGTTTTTGTAAAAGTATCATTCCATAGATATTTTAAATTAATATAATTTAATGGAAACTTTAAGTAAGGAAGTTTTAGAGCCAAATTCTTTAAGCTACATCTTCCCAATGAAATATATGTACATGAATGGGGCATGCAATAGAGCTTGAGGATTGCTAGGGCACAATTATGGAATGTAAGGCTACTCAAAGCAGCTTTTAAAAGCACAAATTTTACATATTTCTATCAGATTGAGAAACAGTGCAAATTAATTTTATCAGGAATTTTGAAATAAAATTTTTGTTAAAGGGGATCAGTGAGGTTTTGCAAAAAAGCCTTACAACAACATAGCTTAGAAAATAACTGTTTTCACTGGTGTCACATGGAAACAACACAGAGTTAAATAAAAGCAGCTAAAACAGTCCACTGAAGCAGGGCTGGTTTTAAAATTTAAAAGCTTGTCTTTATGAAAAATAAGCTCATGGTCCCATGCATAGGAACAAGAACAATCAGGTCTCCTGAACATTTCAAATGTGGTTTAGTTGTGTATGTAACTCATTGATGAGGGAATCAATAATTAAACAATAAGAAAACAGTATTTTCATCTTAAGTCCAATTAAAGATGCGTGAGAAGTGTTGTATTACCTTTGAGTAGCTTTATTGAGATATTTTTAAACTCTTAAAGGCCATTTGCTAAGCAGCATATAGCATCTACTCAGGGCAGTTGTATAAATGAACTGCTGGACAGAGAAATTGTAAACTTTTGCAGCTTAATTTTACATTAGCTTTTGAAATGTTATTGTCTTCATGAATGAACATTACAATATTTAATATTTCTTGCCTATTTACACATCACAAGAAATAAAAATTAAGAAAATAAATTAGAATTATGAAGTCGTAGGACAAGACTATTAAATAAAATCTGAAACCAGCTATCAAGGTTCAGAAGAGAAAGAAACCTTACATCTTATTTTTATCAGAAAAGCACATTTGTTTTAACACTGTCATTGAAAACGTAGCATTGCTAGCCCTGAATTATTTAGTTAATACTCCTTAGAGTTAACAGAAAAAAAATATTGAAATGTTTGTTCTCACTACATCTGCAGTGGTCCATGTGGAAGATGTTTACCTCTATCTGCCAGTGTCAGAGATAAACACACACTGTGCATGGTGCCTAGGATTTTCAAGAGCTGCCTAAAGCACTAGGTCCTCCCTAAATACCAATTTGAGGGAATTTGGATTTCTGATGCAAACTCATTTTGGATGCAGCAATTCTTGGTGCTCATCTTCAGATACCTTAATGCAACCAGTTTTTCAGAGAGTGGGTGCTCAAGGCTTTCTGAAAATTTACTACACTTATGGTGTCTCAAGCTGGATATCCAAAAAAACAAAGAGGCCATTGATTAAAAATACCTTGGTCTTGAGTAATCTCTTAGGCAGTTTTGATGTTCTCTATCCAGTATTGGTTCTACTACTTAAAAATTGAGAACTCTTTTTCCTACTTTGCGCTTGCTGACTATGAAGATTTTAGAGGACCAATATTTGTATTACACGAAGTTTTATAGTTTCCCATTTTTTCCATATCTTAATGAGATATAGTGGTATTTATCTAAGTAGGACACAACTGGTATGCTTTCATGAATGGTTTGGTGTAGCTATTTTCCCATGGACATGAGTAAATAAATCTCTTTCCCAGAGTGGTTGTAGTCCTGTTTTAAAACTCTGTGAACAACCCAGGAACAATATATGGTAGAATTGTAGTTGAAAGATACCATAGTGTAAGAGTTATTATACTGGAGTTCATTGCCATCAAGCTCAGAGACAAATTTCCATCCTTCTGAGGATATCCACTGTGGATATTTGCTCACACTATATACTATACAGATGGTGCCAAACCCCCTCCTTTTTTTTTTTTTTTTTTTTTTTCTTTTTTTTTCAATCCACTAGGAATTGGAATTTCTTGAAACTCTATCACTTGGCTATAAATAGATACTTATTACAGGTCAAGCCCCTAAACCCATATCTTTTCTGAACAGCCATTTTTGTAAATCCGTGTCAATTTCACACATTTCCTCAAGCCATTCAAAACCTTTTCTGAACTCTTTGGAAAAAAACAGAAATGGAAAGAAAAATGGAAAATACCCATACAGGGTAAGGAATGGTGGGTTCAAGACTGGACCATGACCAAGAGGAATACATGTAATTCCCCTATCCAACCTTCAGAAACATGGAAAAATGAGGCAGACTATTTAATAACCTTTTCTGAAGCTTGGAAAAGGAGGTTGTGGGATGGGAAAAGCTATATGGAATATCCTAGTTGTTACCCCAGCTAGATCCAGAGTTGCTGTAAAGAGGAAAGCTTTTTATGCAGCTGGCTCTATCCTCCTGAATGATCTGCTAGATCTGGAGGAAGCTGCTTGGTTTTCCTATTGCACAGAGGTTAAGAGACCCTCATTAATTATTATTTTTTCATTGTGTTTTTGTTTTGTTTTGGTTTTTTTTTTTTTTACCTCTCCAGGGAAACCCCTCACAGGGTTTTACCCAGACATCTTTTTTGCAGGAATGGGGATTATATTTTGCCTGCATAAAAAATGTATACATCCAACCCACTTGTGGGGCTGGCTTAAAGTGCCCTCACTGCTAGACCAAAGGCACTGCGGGAAAGGCCAACTCAGCCTTTCACCAATTTTGCAATGCTCTGGAGATGGCTGATCAGGTCCTAAATCACAGCAGTCTCAGGCTTGTGCTAGCTTATGCCTTCTGCACCCATATCTCCGGGCTGCCGCTGTGACAGCCCAGGTGTAGCATCCCCCCGTACCCTCCCCCTTGCTTTGTGCATCACCCAAAACACCGGGCCGGTGGCTGAGCAGGCTCTGCACCACCCAGGTGATCCCTCAGCTCTGGGGGAAAGTCCCAGAGCTCCCAGCTTGGCAGCACAAAGGGGCCACAGGGCAACAAGGAATGAGGTCTCCAGAGAGATGCTGAGCTGGCGTGTGATCACAGATGGCCAAATTTATCATTCAGTTATGCCTGTAAGTTTGCAGTGAAGATATTGCTTGCTAGGAATTATATGTTCATGTAATGGAGTCGCAGTGTGTGAATTTGCATTCGTCATGTTACCTAAGAGGAGCCCAATCTGGGATCAGGCTAGATTTATATCTATGTATTGATATACAACATTATGTATTATTATAACAATTACAGTTAATTGGATAGTTTGATGAAAACCTTTGTATGAAAACTTATAATCAGTTCTAATGTATGTGGGTTTAAAAACCATACAAAGTGGATGCTTACCTTAGAAGTGGGAACAAATAGACAAAAATACACAAATTATATTTATTTTTACAGCTACTGACTCCATTTCCTTTTATAATGTCAAATGTCAGGATGTTTTCTTATTTTCAACTAAGCTAGCTAGGTGCTTGGATAAAAAAACTCTTAAAAGCAGCTTAAGAACTGAATAACAGTCTGTGCTATTTTCTGTTAATGAGAGAATATTCTATCATTCGAATAAATACATGTTGTCTGTCATTATCTTGTATTTCACAATGTATCTGAATTTTAATGTCCATGAATTGACAACAATTGACAACGTTGTTCTTTTCGAGATGATGATTTCGCTTTATGGACTGGCCATTCTTCTACTTCCATCCCAGAAAACACAAAAGGTAAAGGTGTAGATCAAAATATGAAAATATGTCCTTGGCCATAGTAAACAAAGTGACTACAAGACTATGGGGGAAAAAAAAAAGACTACTCTGTGAATTTACAATGAAAATAAAGAAAACTGTATTCCAAAGCCTTTGTTTTAGGCTTCTTTGAAGCATTTGAAAGTAGAAATGCAAGTACCAATTTCTTCCTTGTGTTTTCTGCGACTTCTAAAATAAAATAAAGCATAAATAAGGAAGGCTTATTTTTTTTTTTTTAATGCGGTTGGTGTTACACTGCATGTGCATCACTGGAAATGTGATGTAGAACAGTGTTTCATGTATGGGAAAATCTATTAAATTATTTATACAATTCTATGGTCTTAGAAATTATAAAACAACAAAAATTACTCTTCATAATGTGGAGAGGAAAGATTTCCAGAGTCAAGCGAAGAATTAGTTATTCAAAGCACTGGGCCAGCTTTTCAGCTTCAGTAATTACACTGTTTCTGTATTCTGCTATTGATCTGTACCAGTTAACCCTGAAAGTTTCCTTCCCTGTGCCACTTCACTGGGAAACACTAATGTTTCAGAAGCTTTCAGTATATTGGCTGTGTTTTAAATAGATGAAGAAAAGCTTAGGAAAACCTGTCGCTAAGAGTAAGGGAAATCTGCATTACTATTAAAAATTATTGAAATCACCATACTTTATTTTCTAAGAATTTATTTAAAACAATTTCCAAACTAGTAACATTTCACTTAAAAACATTCAGCCTAAAATAAAAACTACCTTTGGTATAAAAAGTCCTTTAATAATGAGGGTTTCCATAAATAGTGGCAGGTTTCACAGAATTACATTTTACTATTTGAAATAAAAACACTGACTTCATGTTCAGAAGTGACTGGATTTAAGGCTTGCTGGAAATACCACAAAGCCAGAAATGTCTAGATTTTGACCTGAAGACTTCATAAATGAAGTAGTAGGCTGCCATTTTATGTAGCCATTCTTTCATTTACTCAGAAAGGATACCAACAGCGTTCTGTTCAAGAACAAGAGCTAGCTGTTCTCCTTAGAGGTTTTAAGAAGCTGAATCTTACACATTTGTTAGCCATTTTCTCCCTTTTTCAGAAGCAGTTAGTTACAAAGTTAAATAAATATTCTGCAGAGCAGTAAAACTCCAATGCCAGGCAATTTACTCAATATAAAGAGACAAGATGTCTCTGGGTTTCGAACCAAAATACATAGCTAACAAGTAGTCTTAATTTGAAGATAAGACAAAGTGAAAAATAATCACTACTGAAAAATAATTAATAATTAATAGTAAAAACATAGTTGTTCCTCTTCCCATACCATGAACAGGGAACGTTCCTTTAAAACAAGGGTGGCATAAAGATTACAGAATCACAGAATCTTAGGGGTTGGAAGGGACCTGGAAAGATCACCCAGTCCAATCCTCCTGCCAGAGCAGGGTCACCCAGAGCACATCACACAGGAACGTGTCCAGGTGGGTTTTGAGTGTCTCCAGAGAAGGAGACTCCACAATCTCTCTGGGCAGCCTGTCCCAGGGCTCTGTCACTCTCACAGGAAAGAAGTTCTTCCTCTTATTCACATGGAACCTCCTGTGTTCCACTTTGCATCCATTGCCCCTCGTCCTATCACTGGTCATCACGGAAAAAAGCCTGGATCCCTCCTCCTGA